CTCCCTGGCTGCAACTTGAGCCCATTGCTCCTTGTTCTGTCATCTGCCACCACTGAGAACAGTCTACCTCCATCCTCTTTGCAACCCCCTTTCAGCTAGCTGAAGGCTGCTATTAAATTGCCCTCCCCACCTCTCCTTGGGGGCTTCTCTTCTCCAGACTAAATAAGCCCAGTTCCCTCAGCTCCTGCTCAGAAGTCATGTGCCCTAGCCCTCGAAACATTTTTGTTGCCCTCAATTTGACTCTCCAATGGGTCCACATCCTTTCTGTAGTGGGGTCAGTACTGTACTGGACACAGTACTCCAGATGTGGCCTCACTGGTGCCAAATAGAGGGAATAACCGCTTCCTTCAATTTGATGGCAATGCTCCTACTAATGCAGCCCAGTACGCTGTTAGTTTTCTTTACAACAAGGGCACACGGTTGGATCATTCAAGTTTATTGTCCACTGTGACTCCTAGGTCCTTTTCTGCAAAGCTGCTGCCCAGCCAGTCAGCCCCGAGCCTGTACCAGCGCACAGGACTGCTCCATCCTAAGTGCAGGACTTTGCACTTGTTGAACCTCATAAGACTCATTTTCACCGCATTTTCCCATCCGCCTAGGTCACACATTCCTAGCCCTACCCTCCAGCATATCTACTACTCCCCCCAGCTTGATGTCATCCGCAAACTTGCTGAGGGTGCACTCCATCCCATTTCAGAAGTCGCTGATGAAGATATTGAACAAAACTGGCCCCAGGACCAAGCCCTGAAGCGCTTCACTTGATACCAGCTGCCAACTAGACATCGAGCCATTGATTACTGATCCAGCAAGTGTTCTATCCACCTTACAGTCTATTCATTCAACCCGTGCTTCCTTAGTTTGCTTCCAAGAACATTGTGGGAGACCATATTCAAAAGCTTTGCTGAAGTCAAGGGGTATCACATCCACTGCTCTTCCTGCATCCACATAGCCAGTCATCTCATCATAGAAGGCAATCAGGTTTGGTTAGGCATGACTTGTCCTTGGTGAATTCATGATGACTATTCCTAATCACCTTCTTCTCCTCCAAGTGTTTAGAGATGCATTCCTTGAGGACCTGGCTCCATGACTTTTCCAGGGACTGAGGTCAGGCTGACCCATCTGTAGGTCTCCAGATCCTCTTTCTTTCCTTTCTTAATGAGCACTATGTAGTTGCCTTTTTAAAACCATCCAGGACCTCTCCTAACTGCCACAAGTCTTCAAAGATAGCGGCCAGCAGCTCTGCAATCACAGCAGCAATCTCCCTCAGCATCCCCAGGTACATAATGTCTGGCCACACAAACTTGTATACATCCAGCTTTTCTAAGTAGTCCCTAATATGTTCTTTCACCACCATTGGCTGTTCCCTGCTCCCCAAACTGTGCTGCCAGGTGCAGCGGTCTGGGAGCTGACCTTGCCTGTGAAGATTGGAGGTGAAAAAGGCACCAAGCACTTCAGCATTTTCCTCAGTCCGTCACTACGTTGCCTCTCCCATTGAGAAAGGGACCCACGCTTTCCCCGATTTTCCCTAGGTTGCTACAAGTATGTCAGCAACAATTCTTATTAGTCTTCACATCCCTTGCTAGTTGCATCTCCAGCTGTGCTTTGGTCTACCCGATCTCCTCCCTGCATGCCCAAGCAATCCTCTTATTTGCCTCACTAGTCATTTGTCCAAGTTTCCACTTCTTGTAAGCTACCTTTGTGAGTTTTAGCTGAAGGGTTTCCCTGCTAAGCCAAGCTGGATTTCTGCCATACTTGCTAATCCTCCCACACATTGGGATGGGTTCATTCTTGCACTCTCATTAAGATGTCCTTAAAACACAGCCAGCTCTCCTGGACTCCTTCCCCCCTTCAGACTGGTCTCCCAGGGGATCCTGCCCACTAGTTTCCCAAGCAAGTTGAAGTCTGCTTTTCTGAAGACCAAGGTTCTTACTCTATTGCTCTACATCCTTCCTTTCCTCAGGATCTTGAACTTGATCATCTCGCTGCTGCCCAAGTCGCCATCTACTAGTACATCCCCCCCAACCAATTCCTCTCTGTCTGTGAGCAGCAGGTTAAGAAGAGCACAGCCCCTAGGTTAGCTGCTCCGACACTTGCACCACGAAGTTGTCCCCAGCACTCTCCAAAAAACTTCCTGGATTGCTTGTGCACTGCTGTATTGCCCTCCCAGCAGATGTCAGGGTGACTGAAGTAGCCCAGGAGAAGCAGGGCCTATGAACAGGTAACTTCTACTGTTTGAAGACCACCTCATCCTCCTGGTCTGGTGGTCTACAGCAGAGACACACCATGACATCACCCTTGGTGCTCTCCCCTCTGACCTTAAACCAGAGACTTACAAAACTGGAGATATAGGCCTGCTGAATCTATGTAAAGTTCTTTATGGATTGCTCAAAGAATAACAAAGCGCAATTCTTCTTCTCCCCTTCCTGAACAGTTTGTACCCATCCATGGCAGTACTCCAGCCATGCAAGCTCCCACCGAGTCTCTGTTATTTCAAGTATGTCATAGCTCCATGACTGTGGAAAAGCTTCCAGTTCTTCCTGCTTGTCTTCCAGGTCCATGGCATTTTCATATAGACATCTAAGGTAACCAGCCAATTGCCCTACTTTGTCAGGAAGAATGAGAAGGACTCCGTTGCTTCCTCCAGGTCACCCACTTCTCCCACCTACCTTTGGTCTCCAGCACCCAGCAAACCTAATTTAAAACCCTCCTCACCAGGTTAGTGAGCCTGTTTGCAAAGATGCTCTTCCCTCTCTTTGTTAGTTGGATCGTATCTCTTCCTAGCAATCCTTCTTAGAACAACTTCCAGTTGTCACAAAAACCAAAGCCTTACTTAGGAATACTACCTTCTTGACTCTAGAAATGGTCTCAGTTGAAACAAGCATTTTCCACTATGGATGGAGGGAAGAGAGGCAGGGACTTGTATTTTTATACAATTTACCCCAAGTAACCCTACAATTTAATAGTTTGTCAAACAATATAGAATATGGCTTATTTCCAGGTTGCTATATTGTTGGATGAATTATATGCAAATATTTAAACAGATATTTATTCTGTTTTGCCATTAAGAAATCAGAGGCCACAAGTGTTCTATAAGCAGACACCAATCTTCCATAAAACACTGCATAATTTATAAGAAGTCTAAGGTACATGTTTAAAGTGCTAGTGGAAGGACTAATAAATGAAACCGGGATCTAAACATCTTCCAATATTACGCTGACTGCTGCTTTAAAAAGGATTGAGTAAGGGGCAGAAATAGCTTAAGTAATAAGATAATTTGACCAATACACCCTTAAAAATGGTGTTTTTGCCTGCAACACAGGTTCGAAGTGCATCATCAGAATCAATATGCTGAAGTATAGCACACTTTGCTACTCAGGAGGGGCAGCAGCTGCCAGTTTCCACTTGCTCAATCTGCTAAAACGCCTGCGTGAAAACATGAAAGCTTTGCAATATTGGACTGCCAGCACTATAACCTTTCATACAGAGCTGACAAACTTCAGGTCTCATTTGTCATCAGAATTATCCCCATCCTAGTCCCAAACTGTTTAAACCATTAGCCAACTCCCCCTCCCCACCCAAGAAGTGCTCCTTTGAACAAAGCTATTCAAAGTTGCAACTGATAAAATGCTAATTTTTGTATGTATGTGTTTTTTTCTGCATTCATAATAGTGATGATAATCAATGAGCAGAATCCATATGAAGTGTAAAATCAGCAAAAACCTTCCATGTCATAAATAATATCTATACACGAACAGAAAAAGAACACTTCAAGACTGATAATGAAGCATGTTATGCTTCATAAAATAGGTAAGGAAGATTTCAGGAAGGAAAGGGTCACTTGCTTTTATCAGCAGACCTGAAGCCTCATATTTTTAGAGATATCTGAAATCAATGAGAATTAAATATCTGAAATAACTTTAGGTAACCTGAGACATATTGGGCACATCTACACATGCCTATTAAATGCACTGCAATAAACTCTGGGGCTTACTGCACCGGAGTTTATTGCTCTCAGGCTCACATTTGCACAGGCAAATGGGATTGCAGCATGTGGAGCCAGGTCAGAACAGCCCTGGCTGGCAGGAGGCTGTGAGGATCTGCCTGCCAGCCCAGGGCTGCTTCCCCAGCATGCTGCAGGAGGGGCTGGCTGGGGCACGAGGGTGATTCAGTGCAGGGCTAGCCGGCAAGCAACCCCTACAACACTGGAGCACCCTCACAGCCCAGCCAGCCCCTCCATTGTTTAACACGTGGGCTGCTGTGGAGTTTTTTTACCGGATTAAATTAGTTTTCTCCAGCCTAACAGAAGCGCACATGTAGATGCCAAGACATTTACTGCACAGTTAGTCTACTGTGCAGTAGACATCCCATGTACATGCTCCCACCTATGGAGTCTCAGTAGTTTAAAAATTTATATTTAGACTTCGAGACAAATGGTCATCAGGATGCCATCTATAATTGATTATTTAAATAAATGTATCCCTTTATTAGCCATCTACACAGCAATATCTGTCTAGATGAGGGAAGAGGAAGGTCAAATTCTCTTTCAAGTTTTTTCACGTAATCATTGTCGGATGCTGAGCAAGAATTTATGCACCAAGTTTTCCCAACTGAAAACAGGAATACTTTTCTTTACCTGCCTTTATAAATTGCTTTGAGATCAACAGAGTAACTACTGACAAAGAACTAAGATGACAATCTTACAGCTTACACAGTCTTTGAGATTTTAAATATGGTTTAAAGATACCAAAACCATTTTTCTGCTACCTGAAGGCGAGGGGCTACAGGGATTTTTTTTTCCCTTTAGTACAGGTAGGTAAAAAGACAATTTTATAAAGTTCATGTTACATTTCCTACCACCTTTGGCATATTTATTTGTTGTATAAGAATGTATGCAGAACAGACTATAAACTAGCATGAGCAAAAGCATATAATAATAAAACCTTATTATACATAAATTAACCGGATATATATTGCTAACCTTAATTTGTAATTGAGCTTACCTTGGGGAACTGTTTTACGGGAATTAACACTTTCTGTCCCAGCTTCATATTTTTATTAATCACTACATCAATATATTTTTCTTCTTCCTTTCCTTCCCCTTTTTGGAATTTCTCAATTTCTGTAGAGAAAAATATTAAAAATTATTACTTTGGAACATAATACTAAGTGCTTAAAATACCTGAGCAACTTAGTTTAACAGAAAAAACCAAACAAACGTTTTTTCCACTATTAACATATTACATTTTACTTATGTATAAAATATACCCCTGACTTTAATACATTGTCTGGGAGTATTGGATTCTTTAATTCAAGAGAAACTCATGAAAATTAAACGATTCATAACACAATTTTCACTTCACATTTTATAAAACTGCTTATAATTATTTTGTTTGAATACATGAGATCACCCCTTTAAAAGAGGGGGAAGGGATGACAATATTAGGGCCCAAAGCTTATTTTTATTTTCTCCCTACATTTGTGTTGTAAACCAGAGTGAAGTAAGGGAATATACACACACAACACTAATGCTGATCCCCCACTGTACAGATTTAAATAAATGCCACACGCACTGCTGTTAATCTCCAGAGGAACACACCCTCCTTCAAGTGTTTAAAAGTAAACCAATGAAGTAACAAATCAAGCCCAAAAGTTGAACTGGATGTTTTCTAGGGCTGTAATTATCTTTGATACAAAAGCTGGAAGTCCTTACTTGCTCTTCATACTGCTTAACGTCCTGAGGATAATTTTAACAAACTAATTGTTTTGATTTCCCACCCCCGATATATAGTTTTCTGCAATATACTAATGAAGCAATGCACCCAACTAATGCTATATATTTGGAAGAAGCTGTGTAACGATGGAGATTTGTAAAAATCTTTGCATAGTTAGATCAAGACCATGATTTTTCAATATTGGGAGCACATGAAATTCTACCCCCAGGCTGCAGTCAGGAAGCCATGACGTGTTCCACAAGGTTCTGCCAAGGATATTGAACGTTCGTCCAAACAAGCTCACTTAAAAGGGGCATAGATACACACCAACTGCATAAACAGTTTGCACAATTCATGTGCCAATACACAGAAATGAATATATTAATGTAAATCTCTCAGGATCCCATGACTAAAACTAAATCACAAACTAGGGCAAGTGTTTGTTCGTATTTCTAAAAAGTAAATTATCTAAGTAGCTTGCCAGGGAGGGAGGAAAAAGAAGAAAAGGCAAGACCTCCAGCAGGCCTTGCATGGCCAATGGAGCTGGACAGGGGTAGGACACAGCCAACCTGTGGGATTCAGGTTACTCCAAGTCACCCCAGCACGGGGCCACACTCAAAGGCACCATTTGGATTGCCCTTTTGGGGGGGTGGGGGGTGGGAAAGAGAGAGACAAGGATGAGAAAAAGAGAGGATCAGTGGAATTTGGCAACAGCCTCCCTGGAAGAGAATGTATGGGGACTCCAGAGACACCTTAAGGGATGGGGTAGGGGATTCCCTTGGGTTAAAGGCAGGAGAGTAGGAATAGGTGAGGTAGGACAGAGGTATGGGCTTGGGAGGAACACAAAGGGGACAGGACTGGCCTGGGGTGAGATGCAGGGAGCAGTAGAAAGCATGGAAGAAGCAAGCAAGCGTGCCTTCCCACACCCCATTTGATTATTAGCCATTTCTCTACTTTAGTGTGTATAGCATACAGGCCACTAAGTCAGAAACAAAGTCACTTTGAAATTAAATTTTCAGATTTAAAATCAGATGTGCGTGTGTAAAACAGGAAGTTCAGCAATTGTAATGTTAAGCTCAGTGGTCCAATTGAAAAGTACTGGAATTTTTTACTTCATAGCTTTTGATCTCCAGAATCTGACATTGATGGTAATTACTTAAGAGTATTGCGAAACCAGCTATAATGTCCGTACTTCTATTAAGGTGAACTTCATTATGTCATTCACTTTATACTTCCCCCGGGCAATAAGGCTGAATTATACATTGTGAAAGGTTTCCCTAATCAATAGAAAAATTGTACTGTTGTAAGAAGGAAAAATTAAAGAAACGTATGACTTTTTTTTGATGCAACAATCTATTAGTAGTAGGTGTTTGAGCTCACTCCCAAAGTTTAATTTTTAAACTTTTTAAAAGAGAGACTGATTTTTCAACAATGGTTCCACTGGCATAACTTTTATGAAAGGGATTGTAACACTCAATATAGTAATTAAATATTCCCTATCTATTTTTTATACGTTTATTTACTGCTGGCAATAAAAACAAAATTAATACTGATGGAAATCAATAAAAAAAAGTGTGTCAACATGGAGGATTAAAGGCAAGAGGAACACAAAACTATACTAGTAATTGTTCAAAGGTATTGAATACCACTGATATCCAGTCTACCGTTCCCATTTTACATTAGTGACAGAATCAGCAGTCTTGTAGTTTTGGGATTTTTTTGCACAAGTAGAAAATTTAGAATTCTTATCAGAAATCAGTCAACATATCAAAATATGTAT